TGTGGGTGTGGGTGTGGGTGTGGGTGTGGGTGTGGGTGTGGGTGTGGGTGTGGGTGTGGGTGTGGGTGTGGGTGTGGGTGTGGGTCAGGGTTGCCAGATCGTCCGAATTAGTCGGAATTTCCAGAATTTCCTAAGGTTTTCCGACTGCCTTTCCGACTTTCCGACTTTATCCGAATTCTTGTACTTTTTCCGATTTTTTCCGAACCGTAGTATTTTTTTAAAATTTTCTTTCCATTACAATTTTCTATATAACTTTTGATAGATTTCATATGGCGCCACCTTTATTTTCTTATAATCATTGGATAATTCATTTTATTCTTAAAAATAAGAAGAGAAGAGAGAGAAGAGAAGATTTAATGTGTTAATCTTTTCTTCAAATCTCATCTTATCTAAGATTTGTTAGAATAGCTTCAATCAATGTTTAATTCTCAAAGAAGTCATATAAATAATATCTCTAAAAACCTTAACATAAACGTAAATAAATATGTTGTTTTACATCTTAATAGCTATATTTCAGAATAAACTGAACGTTATAATGGATGATAAATCAGATGATTCGTGTATCAGTATGACTGTGAGTGTAGAAGAACAAGAATCTATTCAACCAACAACATCTATTCGATCAACGACAATTTCAAATTCCAAAAAAAGAGAAAAGAAAGGTGTTTTTAAAAAGGATTGGACATTACATAAAGAATTTTCATCGTGGTTACAGGCAGTGAAAAATGATTGCAAACAAGCTCGTTGTAAAGCTTGTCTAAGAACTTTTAGCATTCGTGAAGGAAAATCAGCTTTAAGAAAGCATATGAATAGTGAAATTCATAAAACACATATGAAAACTTTTGGAAATAATATATTAATAACACATACTTCATTCGGTGAAGTACAAAAGGTTTCAGCTATGGAGGGCACATTTGTTTATCATGGAGTAAAGCATGGACATAGCTACATTTCTCAACAATGTACAACAAATCTAATAAAAGATTTATTTGCATCATGTTCCAACACTGCTAAAAATTTAGCATGTGCAAGAACAAAATCAAGAGCTGTTGCTTGTAATGTACTTGCCCCTTATTTCACATCCAAATTAATCGATGAAATAATACAATCTCGATTTTATTCAATATCATTCGATGCCTCAAATAAAGGCAATATAAAAACATATCCATTTGCCGTACAATACTTTACTGATATTGGAGTTAAAAGAGGTAAAGAAATATTTCATAATTCAAAGTTAATTTTTTTTCATATAGGAATTCTTCAATTTGTTGATGATCCACATGAATCAGCAAATGATATTTATAATAATATAATTAACGTGATGGAAAATTATCAATTGAATATTCGAAATTTAACAAGTATTGGTGCAGACAATGCTAATGTAAACTTTGGTGAACATCATTCGGTGTTTAAGTTATTTAAAGATATTTGTCCATGTTTAGTAAAAGGTATATTAATATGTTTATTGTTAGAATGTTTTCATGTCTTTGAAATCTTTTATCTATATTATTATTTTATTTTATTTTATAGGAAATTGTTTTGCACATGTTCTACATAATGGAGTGAAACATGCACATGATGATTTATTGATTGATATTGAATCCATTCTATGTAAAATATACTCTTTTTTTTCAAATTCAGCAAAGCGTGTTGAAGAATTAAAATCGTATTATGATTTTGTTCAAGTGGAATACCGTGTAGGCTATTTCTCTAATATAGATTGAAATGAATAGTAAACAAATCTATATCCATTCTTCATTATTATCTTTCAGGTTTTGTTGGAACACATTACTATAAGATGGCTAAGTTTATTACCTTCGATTCAACGCTTAATTGAAAATTATGATCCAATAAAAAATTATTTTTTAAATCAACAAATATCATCAAGAACAAAACCAAATAGAACTACTGAAAATCTTCTACTTTTCAAGAGTTTTTTTGAAGATGATTTTGGTTTGTGCATTTTGTTGTTTTTAGAAAATATGTTGGTTGATGTTCAACGAGCTGAGTTAAAACTTCAACGTGTTTCTACCACCGCCGTTGATCTTTTTGGTATTATTACAAACTTGATTAAAAAATTAGAACAACGATTAAATGATAAATATTTTGGAAATAAAACACAATTAATATTAAATCATCTAAAACAGTTCGATGAAGAAAGAAGTAAACAATTGCTCGAATCATTTCAATCATTTATTGAATCATTTATTGAATATATTAATTCTTATTTTGATCATGATAGAGAATTTTTTAGACGATTATCAGCTTTTGATTGTGAATCAAATGATTTTCTGAAATGGGATTATTTAATCGATCTAATTAATTTATTACAAATCGATGGTTTAGATAGAGACGAACTCTATAATGAATATTGCGAAATAAAATTTATGTATGATGCAATGAAAAATAAAAATGTCAAACTAAATGAACAAATAAAATTATACATTTCAAGTAAAAATGTTTATAATTCAAAATCAATAAGTAATAATGATCGAATTCCATGTGATGTTAGCAATGATGATACTGATGTTACATTAAATAATAGTGCAAGTACAAAAGCAAATGAATGCATTCGATCTGATCAGCTATGGTCATATTTATTAAATATTAAACCAAATTCAGCACCAAATATGAAATTACTTGTTGCTTATGTATTTTCTATTCCATGCAGCAATTCTTATGTTGAATCAATTTTTAGTCAAATGAATCACTTATGGTCAAACTATCGAAATCGAATGGATATACAATTAATTGAAGCTGAATTACAAATCAGAATGAATTCTGATATTCATTGTTCACATTTTTATGACTTTCTTTTAACCCAAGATGAACTATTGACAAAAATAGCTACAAATGAAAAATTTGTTAGAAAGAAGCGTGTTGATAAGTGAACTTGAGTGTTTTTTTAATAAGTGTTTTGCTTTTGAATTGTATATATATATATATATATATGTATAGTAGTCTATTGCGAGTTGTTTTTCTTGTATCAACATTCTCTTCTTGAAAATGATGTTTTCCAATGGTGTTATAATTAATGCATTTATTTTAACATTGATGAAATATATATACAGAAAGAATCATCAAACTCAGAAGACTTTTATATCAGAAAAAAACCATTTTAAGCATCAAGAAGCTTAAAAACGACTTTCCGAATTTTTGTCCGAATTAGTCAGATTTTTTTCCGAATTTTTCCGAATTGGAGCATGAAAATTCCGATTTCTAAGATTTTGATCTGGCAACCCTGGTGTGGGTGTGGGTGTGGGTGTGGGTGTGGGTGGGTGTGGGTGTGGGTGTGGGTGTGGG